CCGATCCTTCTCTCCAGAAGGAGTAGTCTTTGACATCTCACGGAGGACAAAATCGTCATCTCGGACGATCCTGTACCCAGCGTTTCATGCAAAGCCGCTCCTTTGCCCGGTAGCGTGCCTTCGGGCGTACGAAGCCCGTACCGCACCCCTTCGGACTTGGTCAGACCCCCAACTCTTCATCTCCTTCCGTAAACCGCATGCTCCGGTTTCCTCTCCTACCTTGGCCCGCTGGGTGAAATGGCTCATGTCCTTGGCAGGTATTGACACCTCCATTTTCTCTCCCCATTCGGTTCGCGGTGCCATGGCCTCTAAAGCCTCCTTTGCTGGTTGTCGTTTAGAGGATATATTAAAGGCGGCTGATTGGTCCACGGAATCTACCTTCCGTAATTTCTATTTCAAACCAATCCAGCATTTTGCAGAAGCCGTGATATCACAGCTTTGAAATAGCATAATAGGAGCCTCCGGGTCTTTAATAAAATTCAAGGATTTTACAATTATCATGACAGAAAGTCATGATTTTATTAAAGACACGGAGGCGAGTATTATCCCACCCACCCGCCCTTGGACGGCTTGGATGTGGGGCAAGGTAAGTTACAGACCTCTCCATGGTAAGTTCAATCTTGGTGATATTGAGGCCATCACAGGCGTTAGGACTTTATCTAATTTGAGACTCATTGACACGATTGTCCTCAGATCAGTAGTCCCTCTTACTACATCTATGAATTATTGTCACTGTTTAGTCAAATGTGTGATCCTCTATGTATGGAAAACCCATCAGTCCAAGACATTACCATATTTTCTTGTCTCTTCTAGCATGACTGGGTTGAAGGAGCTCTCGGAGTCGCATGCCTTGTTATGGCTAGTTGGTTTATCCGGTTTTCCTGTTCCGAGTTTTGAGTTTATTCTTCGGGATACGCAAGAAAGAAAGAGGAATTGGTCATCAATGCTCCGCCTACTATAGGAGAAGGACGACACTGATTGGATGGCCATGTTACTAGGCGGACATTGTCACTATGATGTTATACCTAGTTCAAATGTTTATTTTTCTTCAATAATGTATTCTTTGCTGCTGAGGGTATTAAAGAAAGAGTGCAGCATAATACTCGCCTCCGTGTCTTTAATAAAATCATGACTTTCCGTCATGATAATTGTAAAATCCTTGAATTTTCGTGTAGAGCAGCTGGTCATTAAATGGCGGCTGCTTACTTACAATGTAACATAAACTGGCAGCGTTTGAATAAGGGGTTTGCATTGTAAATATGAAATTTACACACTGCAGCCAAATGAGACATTAATATCCCTCACAAGATGTTCATTTGTAAATCATCAGGTTCCTGACTTTGACTTTTAAACATTACCAGAAAAAGACCAGCGTTAGCGTGTCATCGTGGCTGTGCTATATTTAGTAGCATTGCATTTATAATGTTTTAAGAACGACTTAAATTCCATATAACAAATCATTAGATTAATTATTGTATACACGATATAATTAACCATTTAAAGATTCCGCGGACTGAGAAATGTATAAGGGAGGGATTTGATCCGTAATAACATAATATTCTATCAATATTTCAAAATATAAATATAATAGAAAACAGGACATGACATGGATAATAATTCAATCGGTAATCCAAGAACGATTGTGAGAAATGCAATTATTAACTAAAACTGATAGAATTTATTTCAATATTTTCCTTTTTTGCTTTACTTACTCAACTCTAACATTGTTTTCAACATACAAAGACCATTCTTTAATGATATAAAGAAAAAAACACAAACCAGTGGTATACGCTGGTGAGAGATCTCTGTTGAATGACCTCTGGCTGTTGTGTTAAAGGTTTGATTTCATGAGAGCTCAGCTCAGTCTGTTATAATTCCAAAGTCAATAAAACCAGTACAGCAAGCTGGGTAATAATAGCACGTACATCCTGCTTGGAAACCTTTTAATGATTATTATTGCTACATAACTATTTTAACAACACTTATTTATTTGAATTTTTTTATTACTTAGTTTTTTTCGTATGATACATTTTTACAGTTGAAAAAAAGTGTTTTTGTTCGAAGAACTTGTTTTGTTAATATATTACAACTTCATTTGTGAAGATAGGTCACACGTTGCGGTGGTAGAAAAATATATTCAATCATAAAAGAGTTTCTAATCTCCATGGTGGAGTTGGAGGATGGGGTCCTGTCTGCCCTGTAACCTCGGAACAGTTCTGTTCCCCATGCATCCTTTGTAACCAAATCATTTCGTGCCGTGCGTATGAATACTTCCCAGGGAGGTACATTAGTTCACACATTGCTCTCCCCCATTTTCTCACATGGTGGTGATGGTCATTAATTATTCCCAGTCCTCAGTCCTTGATTTGGGATGTGGGGCCCCAGGGGTCCACTGTAACATGGGAGACACACGCTAATGCCCCTTCTTGTCCTCACACTGGATATTCTGGAATCTCTCAGATTAAACCATCTGTGTCTCCATTTCCCAACATATGCCATGAGTCAAAGATTTAACAACATATAAAAGGATGACATTTTATCGGAGGTTCCCGATTAATACTATAACTACATTAAACATCCACTGTGGCAAACCTAGCCACCAAGAGACTGAGAAAGGACTTTCGAGATTCGAATGAACTGGGATTAAAATGGCCGTATTGCTATTAGGACAGTTATCTTCAGGCAATCGGTTCACTAACTACATCCACGCAATTGCATTATCCACGAAAATGTGTAAAATACCGAATGAGGGACCACCCCGGTGTAGTCGTGTGTCCCTCATTACCGAAGGCAACAATGTTGCAAAGGCTGGTAATTGAGGTTCGTGTGCGGCTGCCATTTGCCTGCCGAAAACGTGGCGGCGGCCATCTTACGCACAAACAGCGGTGTTTGGTCGTCGAGTGTCTGGAACTCAAATCGGACACTCGACTAACCAAGCACCGCTAAGACCTCCAGCACTCCGGAAAGGGACGATTAAAACGCACGAACAGCCCAGCATTCGGTAGGATGAATCCTGTGAACTAGTGGATTCATCCGAATGCAAAGTCAAGCATGGATGGCAAAGACTTTCGGGACTTTTTATATGTGAACTGAGATCGACCGCAGGGCCAGAACACATGGAACTATTTTCGGCTACTGTGCCCGTGTGGTCGGTCAAATCTTTTCCCTTCAATAACTCTGAACCCCTGGTCCGATCTGGGTAATCTTTGAGTATGTTTCTCACCCAGATCAGGGCTACCAGGGGATCCCTCATTTACCCCTGTATTTGGGGTACATCCAAGAATTGGGGAAAAATGTGTACATGTTAATAAGTTTGGAGAGCAAACAATGGGTCGCAAGAGTATTCTGAGAACGGACAGCAGCTAAAATAGCCTGCCCTTCGGTGGGTCCCCGCTCAGAACTCATGCTGGTTTTAGCTCAACTTGTGCCATTACAGAGAGAATATATCTGAAGCATATCAGACTGGTCCCACCCATACGGGCAGTCCAGACCCGAAATGCCAGCAAGTTCTCTCTGCACGAGAGATACAGCAACCCCAGACGATCGTTTCAGCCTTGTTAGGCATAGTCAGTGAGGCATAGCTGATATCTCTCTAGGCACCATGAGCAAGGGGTCCACGTCTGGATTACCCTTTAGTCTAATGGAGAGCAAACAATGGGTCGCAAGAGTATTCTGAGAACGGACAGCAGCTAAAATAGCCTGCCCTTCGGTGGGTCCCCGCTCAGAACTCATGCTGGTTTTAGCTCAACTTGTGCCATTACAGAGAGAACATATCTGAAGCATATCAGACTGGTCCCACCCATACGGGGCAGACCCGAAAGCAAGTTCTCTTCACTCTGCATACAGCAACCCCAGCGACCCCAGAAGCCTTTCAGGCATCGTCAGTGAGCGTGATTTTAAAGGGATAATCAGGCATGGACCCCTTGCTCCGCGGTGCTAGAGAATATCAATGCCTCACTGATGATGCCTAACAACTAGATACTGAAGAGCAGCAACTTGCTGGCATTTCTCTGCTGCTCAATACCAGGTCTGGTCAATATAATTATCAATGCGCATCAATACCAGGTCTGGTCAATAGAATTATCAATGTGTGTAAATACCAGGTTTGGTCAATAGAATTATCACTTATCAAAATTGAGGGAAAAATCAAAAAAAAATTATGCAAACTTAGGTTAAATAATTATTATACAGGGAACAGAGCCAGTAAAAATCTTACAAAATAACTCCAACAGCAGAGAGTTAGAAATAATATTGACAATATCGTGGACGGGCAACAAGAATTTAGATCACCAGAACAAATAGGTAAAAAAGTCAATGAATACTACAGCAATCTTTATAACTTACAAACCAATGTCAGTAATAAAGAGATTCAAAAATACCTTTCAAATACAAATATTCCAAAAATATCTAGTCAAGATCTAGAATTAATAAATAAAAATTTATCTCAAGAGGAAATAGAAAAACAAATTGACAAACTAGAACTAAATAAAACACCAGGTTCGGGCGGTTTTACAAATTTTTATTATAAAATAATGAAGCCAATAATAATAAAACCATTAACAGAACTATTTAATAACATAGTGGATAATAATAATTTACCTAAAGAGTTACTACAATCTAACTTGCTGCCAATCTTGAAGCCGAATAAAGATAACATAAACGTTAGAAATTATAGACCTATTTCTTTAATAAATATAGACATGAAGCTATATGCTGCCGTTTTAGCCGAGAGACTAAAAACAATTCCTCTTTCACTGTTTTTGTTTTACCCCTGATAGGGGTATATATCCAAGTTTTTTGTTCCCCTTTTTTATTCTTTTATATTTTTTGTCCATTCATCATTTAAAGTTCAGTAGAAATGTTTTTAGACCACGAAACACTGCACTGCTTCATACAAAAATGCATAATACGTGGCATCTGCAAATTGTAAACATCTGTTTACTCATTATTCCTGTACACACAAGTACACAGCTTGAGTTTGCTTTAATAGCTTTGTTGGACTTGCATGTTTCTCTCTTGGAAGGTGGTGGCTGGGACTCTCACAAGATTGAATGTTCCTTTACCCTTTATCAGGTATTATTGTTCTATAAACCATGGTCTTAAAATATATGTCATTTAATGTGAGAGGCCTGAACACCGCCCACAAGAGACGATTATTATTCAAAGAAGCAAAATCCAACGAATCAGATGTGCTTTGTGTACAGGAAACACATTTTAAAGATGATAAAGACCATAAAATCATGTCAAAGCTTTTCCCAGTTCAATACCATTGCACTTATAAATCCAAGTCTAGAGGTACATCGATTTTTTTTTCACAGGAATGTAGCATGCTTGACAAACAAAGTTATAACGGATGATGACGGGAGGTATTTAATATGGATAGGATCACTCAATACTATTGAATATACTATTGTGAACATGTATTTTCCAAACACCGGTCAGTTGCAGTTTTTTAGGAAATTGATGGACTTAGTGAATGAGAATGTGAGAGGCAACTTGGTAATGTGTGGTGACACGAATTTTGTGATGGATGGAGAGTTGGATAACGCTAGGGAAGACCGTGATCGACAGCTTAGAGGGGACAGTGGCAGATTAGCGTATAAATGTTCCAGATATATGATTGAATGTGGCTTATACGATCCTTGGAGACTGTTGCATGAGAATGAAAGAGATTTTACGTATTATTCTGTCTCTAAAAATATGTATTCCAGGCTGGACCAGTTTATGATCCAGGGTGCTTTAATCCCGCACATCTTGAAATCTGATATCTTAAACATCAACTGGTCCGACCATGCTCCAATCATAATGCATATTGACGAAATTGTTTCATCAGCCCCTAACAGAACTTGGAAATTAGGTGATTATTTGTTAAATGATGTTGTGAACAAGTCACTGACGGAGAAAGCTTTGTGTGATTATTTTTCGGAGAATGCCTCGCCCGAGGTTCCTGGCGAGGTGACTTGGAATGCGCATAAGGCTGTGTTAAGAGGTCATTTTATTTCTAGAGCGTCTTACCTGAAGAGAATTAATAGCAATAATTTAAGAACATTGGAAAAAGAACTGTATAATTTGAACCAAGCTAATAAATTTGGTCCATCGTCCTCCCTATCAGCAATGATAGGAGAAATTAAGGCTAAAATCAACAAAATTTATTTAGATCGTACATCTCTCATGGTGAGACGTCTCAGGAAAACATTTTACTTAAAAGGTAACAGGGCCTCAACTCTTTTGGCATCCAAACTCCGGCATGTGAATGCCCAATCAAAAATAGCATATTTACTTGATGATCAGGGGCAAAAAGTGTTTTATCCAACTAAAATTAGTGATATGTTCGCAGAGTATTATAGTAAACTTTATAATTTAGAATGTAATTTGGACCTCCCCCAGCCTTCTACAACAATAATTGATAAATTCTTAGACAGAGTGTCATTGCCTCGGCTGTCTCCAGTACATTTAGAAAGCTTAGAATGTGAAATATCAGCAGCAGAGATAGCTGAGGCAATTAAACTTATGCCATCTGGAAAAGCCCCTGGTCCCGATGGATTAACTATTTTATATTATAAAACTTTTCCGGGGGCGTGGCCGACCGGCGATGGAGTAGGTCGCAAGTAAGAGAGGCTCTGCGGTCCCCGGCTCAAAAGCTCCTGTTCACAGCACACCGGCAGCCACAATGGGGAAATCCCGACGTCAGCTGACCCCCGGACCGCCGGGTACGGCATCGCCGAAACGGCAGGCGGGCCCAATGGACAAGTTTCTGTCCACACCCGACGGCCTCAGACACACGCGGCCGTCGGGCAAAATGGCGCCTGACTCACCAGGCACAAGCAGCACGGCCGGATCCATAGCAGGCTCCACGCAAGCAGACACCCTAACCCAGATATCTGCTGAGCTAGCAGCCATAGCCTCCAACATGCTGACAAAGGCAGACAAGGTGACCCTGGTACAGGAAATGCGCTCCTCTATCAGGGAAGAGATTCAAGAGGTGAGAAATGACCTAACCACCCTGGAGCAGCGGGTCACTGAGCTGGAAGCCGATTGTATGCTGGCCTCTCAACACTCCCAAGCTGCCGACAATGCCACCTCAAGGCAGGGTACCGTTCTCCTGGATCTAAGAAGACAGGTCGAAGACCTGGATAACCGCGGACGACGCAATAATATCCGCGTGCGAGGCCTGCCAGAACAAGCGGGGGAAGACCTCAGCGACATCCTGCAGCAACTTTTCGCGGATGTACTGGGAGAGGAAGCCCCAGACACCTACAATATTGAGAGAGCCCACAGAGCACTCCGACCCCATAGGAACGGCGGACCCCCCAGAGACATTATATGCTGTCTACTATCTTTTCAACTAAAAGAAGCCATTATGAAGGCGGCCAGATCACAAAACATCACGTATCTTGGCGCCCAGGTGTCCCTGTTTCAAGATCTCTCGCCCCTGACGCTGGAAGCCCGCCGAGCACTACGTCCACTTACCCGAATGCTGCAAGATAGGAGGATCCCGTACAGATGGGGACACCCTTTTAGCCTGCAAGCCCGGAAGGACAACGCATGGCGCACGCTGAGATGGCCGAACGATGTCCCCGGGTTCCTGAGAGCCCTGGACCTGCCTGCGGTAGCCATACCTAACTGGATCTTGATGGGTCCACCACAGCATCCTGCGGGCCCCGCTGGTCCGACTCCGCCTAGCAACCGGAGGGAAAGGCCCCCACGGAGAGGGGGACCGGACGGCCCCGAAGAATAAAGCCCGGAGTCACATGGGTCTGAGATCCACCCTCCCCCGCGGGATGGCGGTCCCCCCTTCATCTGCACACCTGGCGGGTGCGGACACCCTGGACTTGCAGAGGTTTCTCCCATTGGCGGTATGTGCCTCCCCTCTCTGCTCTAAAACTTTGCCCCACGACAAGGCCCACGCTGGCTGGGTTGCTCCCCTCCCTTCTCCCCCCGCCTGCTCCGGGATTTAACTGCCTCAGAACTCCAGCCCACGCCTTACGGACAAAACCCAGGACTCTTAGCCATCCAGAAAGCTACAGCGGGTGGGAAAAACCTACTTGGGAGGAGGGATAGCAGACACGAAACTCACCCTACTCGCGGGTGGGAAAAGCCTACTTGGGAGGAGGGATAGCAGACACGAAACTCACATGTGTGGAGGGCTAACTTACTCTACGATCATGGTCACTCCAACATAGGGGCGCGGGTGGGCCTTGGGCACACAACCTGGGCACTCATATCCCTCCACATGTGGCTGTTAAAGGTTCCCCTTACTAGTTTTGCTCGGGTGCAGGAGGGAAGTTCGTGGAACTAGCGGGCTTGGGGGACACAGAGGGAGCGGGCGGGGAGCGGGGCCGGGTGCCTGTTCGGGGTGGTGCGGGGAGAGGGGGGGGGGGGCGACACTACACCCCCTGTAGCCAACAAGATAGACACTACATACCTAGCCCAAGCATATAGGGGGGGCAATACACCAGGCCTCGGGTTAGGGAATAAGTGGGCCCGATAAACTGAGGCATCTAACTGGGCTAGTGGGACCTGAGACACAGACACAATGGGGAGGAGAGATCCTAGGTAGGCACCACAGACGTACCAGGGGGGAGCTGACACCCGCAGGGGGGACTAAAGAGGTGGGCGAGGACTGTTAGGGGTCCATGAGGCGGGACAGGCCTGGCTCCGGCCGTTTAATAGTATAGTACGTTAGGCCAAGTTTATGCTATAATGTTCAAGTTAACCCCTCCTAATTTATTCTATATTTTTTTTTTTCTTCTTCCCCCACTGTTACATAACTCTCTGATATATACACAAAGGGTCTGCAGCTCACGGCGGCGATGCGTTCTTGAGCGATTGGCTCCCCAGGCTCCGGTAACCCGAGCAACTCACTTGAGCCGGGCACAAGCAGTAGCCTCAATTTCCCCATGAGAATTTCACTCCACCTGGTTACTACAACCCCACACAACCGACTCGGCTTGTAAATTCGATCGGGCCCAGAGGTCTTACCGACCATAGACGGATCGGACGTCTCCTGGGGAACACGACCGATCTTGGGTCACTGTTGTCTTTTACCCCTGACCACACTATCCCCCACCCCCACACCGACGGTCACCGACAGACTTGCTCTCCCCGACATCTCTCCTCCCCTTCAATCAGCCTTCAATCAGCCCCGCTTCGGTTCTGGTCCAACAACATAAGGGGCTTGAACATCCCCGAGAAGCGCACACATCTTCTACGGACACTGTGGTCCCAGAAGGTCTCCGTGGCATTTCTGCAGGAGACCCACTTTAAAGATGGGTCAGCCCCCACATTACATGATAAAAGATTCCCCCAGGGCTTTTTCGCGAACCACCAGGACTCCAAAAAATCAGGTGTGGCAATTCTCTTCGCAGGGACGGTGCCCTTCCAATGCACTGCCACACAGGTAGACCCGCTGGGACGGTATCTCTTCATAAAAGGAACCATAGCAGAACGCCCGTATACCCTAGCTAATGTGTACTGCCCCAACCGGGGTCAACACACATTCCTGGCTAAGGCACTGTCCCGCTTAGACAAATTCAAGGAAGGCTTACTGATATTAGCGGGTGACTTGAACACCCCTCTGGACCCCCGAGTAGACACGTCAAGGGGTGACAGCACCATCCCAGACCACTGCATACGCAGGACCAAACAAACACTCAACAGACTAGGCCTATCCGACTGCTGGCGGGCGGCACACCCGGACAGCAGGGATTATACCTGCTACTCTGCCCCCCACAATCAATACAGCAGGATAGATTACATCTTTATCGCGCAAGAGTTCCTCCCCCTGCTTATCACCGCAGACATTGGGATCCAAGGAGACTCTGATCACGCCCCTGTGTCCATCCAGATTCAATCGCCCCTCTTCAAGCCACGGGAGCGCCATTGGCGATTAAACGAAACCATACTATCGGATACAGAATGCTCTAGGCTGACCACACAGGTCCTTACCCAATATTTTGAAACAAACACCACCCCGGACGTATCCCCTCTGACAACCTGGGAGGCGCACAAATGCGTAGTCAGGGGGCACTACATAAATCTTTGCACACAATGCAAACGGGAGAACACCAGACGCATCCTGGAATTGACTAAACGGATAACTGAACTCGAATCCACCCATAAAAGGGATTTGACAGAAGACATCTACCTCCAACTGACCAACGCGAGAAGACAGCTTAGGGACATACTCTCACAGAAGCTGCTTAAAGTGGTACGCAGCTCACACCGCTTTTTTTATGAACACTCGAATAAATGCGGTAGACTGCTGGCCCGGACTTTGCAGCAGAGACGGAGGCAAACCCACATTCACAAAATAAAAGCCCATGGCCAACAGGAAACGAGACTGCCAGCAGAGATCCTACAGGCATTCAGGGAATACTACACAAGCCTATATAACCTGGCCGACACGCCCAGCGCACTTTTCCCCGCACAACACAAACGCGAGCTAACAGACTTCCTCACCAAACACGTCACCCGGAAACTCACCCCCGACCAAGCCGCGAACATGGAACAGCCCCTGTCCCTGGAGGAACTAACTGCGGCGCTTAAACTAACCAAATCAAACAGGGCGCCGGGTCCAGATGGTCTCCCTGGGAGCTACCTTTGCACATTTAGAGACGTTCTGCTGCCGCACCTGTTGACAGGCCTGAACTCACTGCTAGAGGGCGAACAGTTCCCGATGGACACCCTCAGGGCCGTGGTTACGGTCCTACCTAAAGAGGGAAAAGATCCAGCCTGCTGTGCGAGTTACCGCCCCATTTCCCTCCTGAATGCAGACCTAAAGTTGTTTGCGAAGGCCATGGCCCTCCGTCTTGCCGGGGTGCTTCCCTCACTGGTCCACCCGGACCAGGTGGACTTCATCCCAGGCAGAGAATCACGGGACAACACCATACGGGCCCTCAACATTATCCACTCGGCTCGAAATCTTACTCTCCTCTCCACGGACGCTGAAAAGGCCTTCGACCGAGTGGACTGGGCTTACCTCGCAGCCACCCTACAACACATGGGACTCGGACCTAATATCCGAACATGGATAGCGGCACTCTACACGACACCCACGGCTCGAATACGAGTCAACGGTGCCCTCTCAGAGCCATTCCCTATACGAAATGGCACACGACAGGGGTGTCCCCTGTCCCCCCTGCTGTTCGCCCTCTCCCTGGAACCGTTCCTGGAGGCGGTCAGGATGGACGGGGGAATCACAGGACACACAATAGGGAACGTAGAACATCGGGTAGCGGCATACGCCGACGACCTGCTGTTCTTCCTGGGACAACCCCTGATCTCCATCCCAAACACACTAGGCCTATTCCAACGATTTGGGAGGATCTCGAACCTGAAACTCAACACCGACAAGTCGGAGGCCATGAACATCGCAGCCCCAGCCGCACTCGGTGCGCAACTACGCTCCCACTACGGGTTCAGATGGTGCGGTACCAAATTGAAATATCTCGGCATTTGGTTGACCAAAGACCTCTCACATCTTTACCAGGCTAATTTTGCCCCAATCCTCACCTCCCTACAGGCTGACATGGCCAAATGGACTGACCTCTACATTTCGTGGTTCGGTCGTATTAACGCAATAAAAATGAACATCCTCCCGCGCATTCTGTATCTCTTCCAGACAATCCCGATCACCGTCCCTCGGGCCTTTTTCCACAACATTTCCACCGCGATTCGACACTTCGTATGGAAAAGAGGAGCTCCGAGAATCAGCAAGCTCCAACTGGAGCTACCCAAATTGCAGGGGGGAGCGGGACTCCCCTCGATCATTGGCTACTACCGAGCAACCCATTTGCTGAGGGTCACTGACTGGCACTCGCATCCAACGGAGAAACTATGGGTGCGGGCAGAACTAGCTCAGGCCGAGGGGAAAATACCCTCGGAACTATGGAGGACGGGAATTACACCGAACGCCCTCAACACCGGCAATCCTCTGATAGCCACAACCCTAAAAGTATGGTGCGCTCTCCGATTCCCCTA